CTACTATTCACAAATCCATACAAAATACACATAAACTAAATATTAGTCCCACAATGAAGGCAAAGTTATGTGTAAATCAAAATCTAGTAAACATTTTTTATAGTTATACAATTACATAATTACGCAATAATACACATATACCTAAAAACTTAAAAACACAAAGTATAATCAAATTTTATTCAAGATTTTCTCTGCTAATTGTAAACAATGCTATATCATGCCACTTTGCTCAAGTTCTCAAAGCAGCTTAATTTTTATGATCCAGCCTAATGTATATATGTGTGTTTTATATATTTTATATATGTGTCTGTATTATATATTATATGTATGTATGTGTGTGTGTGTGTGTGTGTGTGTATATATATATATATATATATATATACATATATATATATATATATATATATATATATATATATATATATATATATATATATATATATATATATATATATATATATATATATATATATATATATATAAATGATTCTAGGTTTAAAAACTTTTTAAATGAAAAAAATTTTTTAGGGGTTGCTATGGACCCTCAAATATTGAATTGGCCTAATATTTTCAAAAAAAAGGTTTTTAAAAAGTAGCCTGCTGCCAGATATATATATATATATATATATATATATATATATATATATATATATATATATATATATTGTGATATATATTACATATTACAATATGTATTATATATTTCAATATGTATATGTAAATAACTGCTATATATTATATAAAGTCGACAAAATAAATATGAAACTGTTTAAATACATTTTTTTTTTAATAATGAAATAAATTTGAACATTTTTAGCACCTGCAAGGAACAAGGAACAATTGAAATTTTTAACTTATTGTTTATTTATTTTCTTTTTTTTTTTTACTTCTAGACTTTGATTCAATATGCCATCAAATTGAAATGTGCAATAACTTGCTTATAACTTTAGTCATTCACTATTCTGGTGTTCATCAGTTAATTATTCGGTTACTAATTGAAGGCTTTATGAAAAAAGTAGGCTTTTATTAGTTGTGTTGTTTTTTTTCCCTTATTTTTAGATTATTTATAATATTCATAGCTTATTTATATATTCATTAACTTATTTGGAGAGCTATGTTTTTTTTATGATATTTGTTGTTTTTTATTACAGGCGTAAGTGATTTATTCATATTTTCTACTAGTGAGTTTTTTCTTTTTTCTTTTTGGTTTATAGAGAGAAGAAATTTTTTGTACAGGTCAGTATATTTGTTTTTGTACAGTTCAGTATATTTGTTTTTGTGAAAAAAAAGGTTCATTTATCATATTATCAATTAAGTTTTGTATAGGAGACACAGTGCTTTAGACTTTTTAGTGCTGGTGGTGCTAGTGATGTTGTAGAAGCCTTACTACAGTTTTGATAGTTTTACTAGTTTTCAGTTTATAGTTTTCTAACCAATATTAGAATTTTTTTTAAATAAACTTATGTTAACTGGTTTTTGTAAACTTAAATCAACTAATGTATATTGTAATCAAATGATGTTTATAAACTTTTAATCTGCTATAATAAACTTAATATTAGTTAATAAGTTATGAGATTATAAGTTATGAAATTATTAAATAGTTCATAAAACTATTATTAAACCAATTTTGTGATTTGCTTTACACATAAAATCCCAAGTTAGAATAGATATCTTCTTGATGTTTGATGACTCAATATTTTTAATTTATTTAAATGTATTCTGGGTTGTCCTAAATATTTCTAAATAGCCTGAATCTTATTTTCTTAAATAGTTTGAATATTTAATACATTACCACAGGAGAGTGTTGAAATTGACTATTATTTCCAAAGCTGAATAGCATTGAGTGCCACACTGATGCTTTAGTCCAATATTACTTGTAATTGGTTTATCAACTCCAATAACTTAAACAAAAACATTATATTTATCAGTTTTTTCACCATTATTTCTTTTTCCAAACTTATAGTTCTTTCAATTTTTGATTTAAAAGAACTGAAGTTCAATTTCGTCGAGTTATTTTATCCACATTTTTTGATGCTTACCTACTAACTGTTGTTTTAGTGTAGTTATATGCATAACTACTAACTGCAGTAGTAGCAGTAGTAGTAGTAGTAGTAGTAGTAGTAGTAGTAGTAGTAGTAGTAGTAGTAGTAGTAGTAGTAGTAGTAGTAGTAGTAGTAGTTGCAGAACACTCGGCTCATTATCAAGAGGTTTTAAGTTCAAATCTACCCTGTCTCTGGAAGAGCTGCCCTCAATGTGTTTTTCTGCTTTCGCTAAGTTTTTTTGACTTTGTATTTCAGAGTTCAGGATTATAAATCCTCGAGAGAATTTAGGAAAAAACTATTTTTATGACTACTGAGCAGTAATCTTTTTTTCATTATTAGATAAGCTTGCATGCATCTTGCAAAGGAATTCAGAATGTGTTGCATTAACTTTTATTTTTCAGAAAATTGGTAAAATGGTTTGAGTTCCAAATTCTGCTGCCATTGTTAGAGTAACTAGGCAAGAAAGTTTATTTGTTGATTTGAATTCTTTTTGAAGTTATCCTAAGCTTGTTTTAATCTTTTCAATGTTGTTGTTTTTTTATTTACAATATTTGCTGTTGTTTATTAAACAATTGTTGCAGACAAAAAAAATAATTGTGTTAAACAATAAGTAAGCTGAAGGTGTAGTCTTACAAAAGTGTTCTCCAGAACTTTGTTCAATGTTCTCCAGAACTTTGTTCAATGTTCTCCAGAACTTTGTTCAAAGTTCTGCACTCTTAATTACTCTCTATTTAACGAGTTTATCTAACTATTTATCTAAATCTTGTTTTCCTGTTTGCTAGAAAATGGTATCTGTGGTTCCATTTTTTTTAAATTTTTAGAGAATGCTTTGACCACTCTATTATCCAATCAGTTTTCTTACAATTATTTGCAAGGTCTTTAAATTTTTAACTAACATCTTGAGCCTAACAACTCTTTGATAATCAAATTTTCTTTAATTGCTCACTTGTTAGACAGAAGCAGTAAAGCTATTTCTTTTTACATATCAAACCTTGACAAAAACAAATCTGGTAAGTTGTTTTACTTCATAGGGCTTTTTCTTGGTGTATCTGTGAAAGTTTTTAAATTATTTAATGGTACTTTTATAATCACTGAATTAAAGTCGATATTTCTATATTAATGAATGGCAACACACTTACTAAGTACTCTTACTTCCTAATATCTCATAGGATTATCGTTTACTAATAGCCTTTTATAATATTCTTAATTCTGTTTTCTATCACAACAAATCTCTTATTCGTCCTTTTATGAAATATTATTGTCATATTTTGGTTTGTTCTTCTAATAAAGCCTATTTTAGTCAAGATCCATAAGCGCATTGTAAATGTTTTTGGTCCTGTTCTAGCTGCCAAGCTTGAGCCTCAGTCCCATTAACAACTTGCTGCTCAGTCCCATCAACAATTTCTTGCTCAGTCCCATCAACAAAATGCTGCTCAAGCTTGAGCCTCAGTCCCATCGACAAATTTCTGCTCAGTCCCATCAACAACCTACTGCTCAAGCAAGTTTTTATCACTTGTTCCATAAAACCAAATTTCTCATAACTTTTATTCTGCAAAGTTTATTTTTTATTCTAACTGTTCTTTCATGGTCAAATTTTATTCATCTAAATTTTAATGTGGTAGTGGTGTAGTGGTTGAGCGCTTGCTGGTAGCACTCAACTTATATCTCCACGCATTGGAGATATATAAGTTGAGTGTTGTTCGTCAAAGTATGTGTTTTGGAGTTAGAGTTAAGAGAGGGTTGTAACCACAATTATAGTAGCCTTGGATGGGTGAATTAATATTTAAAAAAAATATTTTAAGCATTTGTGATTTTTAATTCTCTTCCATTCTTCATATTTTCCTGACTCAAACAATTTACAGTTTTCTGTTGCTTGCTCTTTAACTTTCACTTAGCTTGTTTAACATCTGTTCCACCTAATTAGTAATTTCTTGTACTTTGTGGTTCTCTTTGTTTTCTGTTAACTCCCATTTTAAGTTGTAGTTGGCCTGCAAAGTCTTAGAGTCTTAAAGTTAGAGTGAATTTTTTATTATTATTATTATTGTTATTATTATTATTATTATTATTATTATTATTATTATTATTATTATTAAAATGCATAATTAACATAACAGCTTCATAACTTTACATGCTATGAAATTCTTGAAAAAATGAAAATCTTGAAACTGCTACAGAAATTTTTTTTATTTTGCAGCATTTTATTATTTAACATGTTTAGGATTTTATAAATTTTGCTTAATTGAAATTTAAAAAAATGAAATTATAAGCCATAAAATGCAGAAGTTAAATTTATTTTTGAACTTTTCTCAAAAAACTATGCATGAATAACTGAATGAATGACTTTTGGACAAGCAATAATTGCATTAAACTCTGGTTTTATATTAATTCCAACTAAATTGCTTATTTGTTACTTTTGTTACATTTTTTTATACTTTATTTTAAACTTTATTCTTTTTAATTTGAATATTTGAATAATACTATTTTATTCATTACTTAAGTAAAGAAATTAATGAATATCCATTAAACAAATAAAAAAATTATTTCATTTAAAAATAAGTAAAGAATTTAATTAAGATCCATTTAAAAAAAAAATTGTATTATAATTTTAAAGATATTAATGAACATCCATTTAAAAAAAATGAAAATTGTTTTATTTAAAAATAAGTAAAGATATTAATGAAGATCTGTTAAAAAAGAAAAAATTGTTTTATTTAAAAATATGAAAAAACTAAAAAAAAAAACTTTAAAATTTTATAATTATAAACACTTTTAATTTTGTTTATTAAAAAAAAAAATGTTAAAAGCTCAATTAAAAAAAAAGTTTTGCTTTTGTTTTATTTTTCTTCAAGTGGAAGCACGTACTTTTATTTAGTTTGAATATGGGAGGGGGGGTCTTCAGCTTTTATGATCCATTCAAGTCTTCAGTTTTTATGATGCATTTAAGTATGCATTCAATTTTATGATGATAACTATAAAGTATAAAGAATGTTGGTACCTGAGAAAAGTTTATTAACTTCATTTTTATTTTGTATTTATGTTAGTACCTGAGGAAAGTTTAATAAGAGTTGAATTATTGCAAAAGAATTACACATTGGTCAATAACAATCGTTACAGTAATAATGCAACTGCTGTTTCTTTTCAAGATGGACTTAAAATAAATAAACGCAAAATGGAGTTTTCGCATGCTCAAAATAATGTATAGCTATTGTTGATTAATATCAGTTGTTTTCAAATCTTTTTGTGTTGTATATTCATTTATTGCATATTTTCTTACATATCTTTTTTTTTTATTATTTTACTTTCTTTATTTTTGTTAGATTTTGTTGTATTTTTTTATTTTGTTACATATATTTATTTAAATTTATATTTTGTTAAATTCATTTTCTTTATTTACATTAAAATTTAATTAAATTCATTTTCTTTATTTCAAAATAAACATTTTTTGCACTTTTTTTATAATTATTTTTTTTAGAGATTCGCTCACCACATGAAAGTAATAACTCTATCAAAACTTCTAGCTGTTCCTTCTGCATTTTCCCCAATTGACTTATCTCGAGATATTGACAAAAAAGAGAGAAGTTTTCTTAAAGCTTGGGGTGAGAACAAGTTTTCAAGATTATTTCCCAGTGCTTATGCGTATACAGCAAATCTACTTGTTGAATTTGTATGTCCTGAACTCGTTCCAGTCTCACCATGGCCAGAAGAAGACTTTCTAAAATATACTATTGAAAGGTGATTTTTCTATTATTTCTCATGACTTTTTACATTTTACTTTACTTTTCGTAGTTTACGTTTGTTTTTTATTTTAAAGAGATTTAAAGATCAAACGAGCTTTTGATAACACCCCTGTATTGTGGGATATTTTGGAACTTATATCTTCTGGTAATATTTTTTTTTGTTGTTGTTTTGTTTTTTGTTTTGTTGTTGTTGTTGTGTTTTTTTGTTGTTGTTCGTTCTTTTCGTTTTAAAAATACTGTGACTTTTGTTTATAAATATTTATATTTAATTAGCACGTCCATCGCTGTTCCATTGCTCAGTAGTTGTTCAAAGTTTGTTAGGAATGAGCTTGAAATTTTGGCTAACCAATCGTCAAGATTCATCTAAAAGCTGTGAAAAGGAATTAAAAAATGTCATTAGAATAATTGTTATAATAAAACAGGTTTTAACATTTACAGTTATAAATGTTAATTCTAAAATGTTCTCTGACAATAACTTCGACTTTATTTTATTTTGTTTTTGTTTGTTAATTTTTTTTTAAATATTTAAATTTTCGTTCAAGCTCATACTCTTGTTCTTTAGGCTGGATGGTTACCAACTGAGTTTGAAAATATTTCAGATATCTTCCCTTTAATAAAGCCGAAAGAAATTTTTGAAATACTGAGCGCAATTTGGAAGTATCTTCAGGTATATGAAAGAATTTATTTAAAGTAAATGAGAAATAAAAAAAGGATTTAAAAAAAGGATAAATTCAGGTATGGATTTTTTGTATTAACAAGCAAGAAGCATTATCTGCAAATAATAAAGTAAAGTATTGACTGAAAAAATCGCTATTGACTGAAAATCACTAAATAAACTAATTTTCTAATTTTAACTAAAATTTTCTAAAGTATTATGTTTCCTAAAGATTAGAAATTCCTTAGGAAACATAATACTTTCCTAGGGATTAGAAATTCTTTAGGAAACATAATACAAAAGTATTATGGTTAAATCTTTATGGAAACATAATATTATGTTTCCTGAAGGTTTACAATAACACTTGTATTTAATGCGTAAAATACCTATTCCCATAAATACAAATGAAACCCATTTGTAATTAATCCTTTTTAAATCTTCCAATTTTTATTTGAAAGAGAAGATTTAAAAGAATTATTTAAAAGCCTTGTAGGAAGTTTTATATATATATATATATATATATATATATATATATATATATATATATATATATATATATATATATATATATATATATAATGTATATATATATTTGCATTATAGGTTTGCAGCTTTGCGCCTGAAAAGTTCATAGATAGAGATCAATTAGGGAGACCTCACCTCCCGGTTCATCCTGGTAAGCTGAAAATGATGATAATCTTTTTTATGGTATTTACGCTTTGCGTTGATATTGTTTGACATTTTATTCAAATTTGTTTTTAGAATTATTTCATCCCCTTCGTACAGCAATAAAAATTGTATTTCTACGAAACATGGCGATACTTGGTCATTCTTATCGCAGGTTTCTTGGTGAATGTTCGATTTAATTCTAAATTGCTGTTTTTACTGTAAAATCCTCTGCCGCCAATATGCAGTTTGTCGTGTATACTTGTTTGCTAATAACGACTTATTTTTAAACTGATAATTGTTGAAGAAGACGCCTTCTTAAAATTATAAGAAAACTTTACATGATTTTCAAAGAAATCATATTTTGCAATAGATAACTAAACGATCTGTTGCTTTTAAACGATCTGTTTTATCATCAATCAATATGTCATTAATTTTGTTATAATATTAGAACACCTCAATATTCAGTTTTCAGCAATTTGTGACAAAATTTGATTGGGTAATTGGGTAATCAAAAATTGATATCTATATAAATTGGAATGTTTTTGGTTTTGGTCATGGTTTTAAACTAATAAAAAATAAGTTTATATATATATATATATATATATATATATATATATATATATATATATATATATATATATATATATATATATATATATATATATATATATATATATATATATATATATATATATATATATATATATATATATATATATATATATATATATATATATATATATGAAGACCTCAGTGGAAAAACCGGCGTTGTCACATTTAAAAAGTTTTGAGAAAGAATTTATTAATCATTAATAAACGTTTTTACTTTAGGCAAAGAAAATTAAAGATGAGAAAAAAAATCAATATTTTGATTAATTTATCTAAAGTTTAATTGTAAAAAAAATTTATATAATTGTTATTAGAAATTCCTTTTTTTTTTTGTTTGTTGCTTTATATAATTTTAAATTAATTTTATATAGATTTATACAATTTTTATTAGAAATTCCTTTTTATTTGCTCAAAACTTTTTAAATGTGACAACGCTTGTTTTTCCATATATATATATATATATATATATATCCATATATATATATATATATATATCCATATATATATATATATCCATATATATACATATATATATATATCCATATATATATATATCCATATATATATATATCCATATATATATATATATATATATATATATATATATCCATATATATCCATATATATATCCATATATATATATCCATATATATATATATATATATATATATCCATATATATATCCATATATATATATATATATATATATATATATATATATATATATATATATATATATATCCGTATATATATATATATATATATCCATATATATATATATATATATATATATCCATATATATATATCCATATATATATATCCATATATATATATATATATGTATATATATATATATATATATATATATATATATATATATATATATATATATGTTGTTTGATTGATTTTAAAAAAGAAAACGTTTACTTTAAACAATTTTAAAAAAAATATCGAAAAATTATAAAGAAGTTCTATGAAAAAAAAAAATATCCTTTATTTACCTCGAACCTTTCGACCTAGTCAAAAGACTTGAAATTAAAGTGTTTTAATTTGTTTGTTAAGCGCTTCTACCCAGATAAAAATCATATAAAGCCGAAAATATGCACAGATATCTTCTAATATTGTAAAACTAAAAAAAGTTTGTAACCACAAAAAACACATAAAAATAGGCAAAAAATGCATTCACACCGGCCGTAAAAACTAAATAACCGTGCAAGATCTCTTCAAAAGCTTTCATCAAATGCTTCACAAAAGGTCAAAAGGTGTTTTAATGTCGGCATTTTCTTTTAACTTGAAATCTGAGCGATGTGTGCCTATTTGAAAATGGCGAAAAAAAAATTTATTTAAAAATATCAAAAATTAAAAAATCTAAACCTCAATTTAAAAAACTGCTTGTATCAAAACATAGTTAATGATCATAGAAACAACTCCGAAAAATTTCATTAAAATTGGTAAAACGGTTCTTGAGATGTGAGGCGTGTGAAAAAAGACTATTTTGAGAAAACACGAAAAGAAATAAAAATTAGCACATAAAACTTTTATTAAAACACATACTATAGTTAAAATTTCTAATAAAAAGTATCAGAAACCTCCTGCTTCATACAACTTCCCTTCTTTTTTTTTTCTTTATCACTTTTGTCATGTTTTTTGCCACAGTTTTTCGTCGCAACTTATTTTGTGGAAAATGTAAATTATTCTCCTTGTTGGTGGCAACATAATAAAGTGATGTCAGAGTACCAGCTTTCATAGGTGCTAAATCTCCTACATAGCTCTAATTGCAATACCAAAATAACTTTGCAACCGATCAATTATTGCATCTGTTAATTTACCTCTACCACCAAGGTTTATAGTTTTTTGTTCAACTTTCTTAATCTTGTACCTATATATTTTTGATAATGTCCAACACACTCAAGCTTTTTTATTATAAAAAGATTCAACTGCATCAATTTGTCGTATTTTTGAATGTGATGCTAGAATATTTACAATATTATCAGAAGCATCGTTTTTTATTTTCATAACTCAGACAGTAAATCACAGTGTCATTAATTAAAATATTTACAATTAGAGTAGATTTTTTATTTACACTATCAACAACAACTTCTTCATAAATTAATGATTTTTTAACTGTAAAAGATCTACACCTTTACCTAGCAAGATTAGTTCGACCTTTTACTCTACAAATTTTTGGCATTTTTGTTGAATTAAATAACATTAATCTGAGTGTGTTTTTGTATCCTAATCTTGCTTACTTTTGCTTAGCTGAACAAGAAGTATAATAGAATGAAGCATCCTAACCCAAGTTAGGCATTTTACATCAGCTTTTTTTTTTTTTTTTTTTCTAATACGACAAAAAAAATTACACTTTCGATATATCGAAACATCAAAAAAGGTCATACTAAATTTTTATTTTTTTTCATGATTTTAGGGGGAGTTTCCCCCTTAATTTCTCTTAAATTTATAATATCCGATACAGCAAAAATAATCCAAAAAGATTGAATTGTATATAGTAGAAAACAGTTGGTTCGTAATAAACATATGCATTTGAAATAAAAATTTTTAAAGCATGCAAAAAAAAAAGTCAAACAAGTTTTAAGTCTAAAAATGAAAATAAGTCAAACGAGGTTTAAAATACAAAGATTACTTTATGAAACTCTTTCCGTTTCGAAATTTCGTTACGATTTGCATTCAGCGTGAAGAATTTTTAATATAAAATTTTATAAATTTTTAAATAAAAAATTGACAACCTAATTTATTTTAAATTACTCTTTACATTGAATGCAAATCGGATGATAAGGAAGCAATTGATGTTATAAAGTAATCTAGTTTTTAAAAACAATCAACACATTTCCGTCTTTAATGATGTCGTCGTTTTTATTACAGATGATAGCATACTAAAATATTAATTGGTGTACATTACGTGGTTCTAGGAAAATATCCCCCTGCAAAAAAAAAAAGTTTTTAAAAATATTGCTTTGAAATTGATAGATTGTCTGCCCACACCAAAATCCTCAGTCAATGTAGTGGTATTCCTTAAATGTTCTACCTATTTGTCAGTCGACGTATGTACACTCCTTGCATGTTCTATCTATTTGTCAGTCGATGTATGTACACTCCTTGCATGTTCTATCTATTTGTCAGTCGATGTATGTACACTCCTTGTATGTTCTATCTATTTGTCAGTCGATGTATGTACACTCCTTGCATGTTCTATCTATTTGTCAGTCGATGTTTGTACACTTCTTGCATGTTTTGTCTATATGTCAGTCGATGTACGACACTCCTTGCATGTTCTATCTATTTGTCAGTCGATGTATGTACACTCCTTGCAAGTTCTATCTATTTGTCAGTCGATGTTTGTACACTCCTTGCATGTTTTGTCTGTTTGTCAGTCGATGTATGTACACTCCTTGCATGTTCTATCTATTTGTCAGTCAATGTATGTACACTCCTTGCATGTTTTATCTATTTTTCAATCGATGTATGTACGATTTATGAAAAATGAAGGATTAAGGTTCTGTTTTTATTATAATACGTATGTATAAAATATTTATATTATAAACAACTATCATATTAATACATCGTTTATTTTATGCGCTGTAGAAAAAAATCTAGGGGGATTTTTTCCGAGGGGATTCTTTCAGGAGATTTTTTTCCTGCTACCCATTACGTTATTTTAAGCATAATTTTGAATAAAATGTTTTTTTATTGTTGACAGGTATTGAAATTGTTACTGAACAGCCGTGAACAGCGCTGTACCGAAAATCGGTAGCATCAGAATCAAAAGATTAAATGCCTTGTCGTGACATATAAACGTCATTGGTAAAGAAAAATAAACACATTATAAGGCTCATTTTGAGGACTGTTAAAAAACTGTTGCACACATTAAGAAAACAAAAAAATAAAATAATCGACTTTTGATTCTGAAATGCGCATTAGTGATGTAGTGGTTTATCATTCTCCAGTTAATTGATTTATAGAGGCTACATACAAAGGTCACGAAGACTAGTTTAGCTCACTCATAACCCGCTTTGACGGACCAAGAGTAGGTGAGTTTATGGAAGTAAATTAGACCCAAAGTCACACGGTCGTTTAGGGTGGAATGCAAGAAGCGAACTTGAGTCAAGCTCGACTTGAACTTTACATTATAACCAATAGCGACAGAGTATGCGTTTTCCCCTCAAAAAATACTCTGCCGCTATTGGTTACAAAATAAAGTTCAAGTTGAACTTGACTCAAGTTTGCTTCTTGCATTCCACCCTTAGATATTAGTAAAAAGCGCTATGTTTAGGTACGCATGCTTAAGAAAATACAGAAAATTTTTAAAATGGCTACGGTTCTCAACTACAGAGAATATTTTATATGGCAACAGACTATTTGTTAATTAATTTCTGTAAAGCCAATGATGTAGCCTTATTTTTAACGTAAATTAATATAATAATACAAAAATTTCACAAAAATATAAATAAAATAAGGTAATAAAAATCTTAGCGCGCATAAACTTTATTTTTGTTTAATACCTTTATAGTGTAAATCAAAAATTTGTTTATTTATTTAAAATCAATTTTCTAAAAATCTGACTGTAGGATTTCAAAATTTTTTTTTCTTAAACCAGATAAATATGTTCTATATGTATGATATTTTTCTGCTCATTGCTTCAACTTTTTTTCCATATAAAAATTAGTTTTTACTGTTTTGACTATTTCCTTATGTATCAAAGTGCAATTTTATTGATTATATTGTTATTTATTATTTTCATGACTATATATATATATATATATATATATATA